ATCGTAAATTTGAACGAATTACTTTATTTAACATGCATACTGTAGGTCTTGAATAGCCTACAGTATACATATACCTGTATGATAAACATGATAAAACAAAAGAACCTATAACTATCAAGAAAAAGTCTCATGGATGTATCTTGAAAGATTTAGTATCAGAGCACCCTTCATGTTGGATAACAGAGCAAGCAACAGACACAAGATAACAATTGGCATTTCAAGAATGGATAGATACGGAGACAACTCACGAAACACATCTATATAGAAAAGTACCCGTGGAAGCCTCAAAAGTATTAGAACAAGCAACCAATATTATTCATTTATCATTTCATACAAACTTATATACTCTCTAAATCTGAATCAGTGGATAGTCACTAATTATTAGTGGCATACTTGACACTGCTAATCAGTGAAGTGAAACTAAAAAAGGAAGAATATTTGAGCATTACATAATTAAAATACTGATAGCTACACGAGAATTTCAATTTTCTAATACCGTATTCATTGAATTTAAGCATTAAAACAAGGTTAGTCAGATTACATAATAAAGATTTGCTAGGTTAAGGATCTCACATTTAATTCACTGATTACCAGTGGCAAACTTGGCACTGATATCAGTGATTCGGATTTAGAGAATAATAATTAATTCATTTTATATAAGTTATAACTTTATACTTTTCTACAATAATACATAAGTTATTATTATTATATAAAATACTGTCACATTTCTTTTTGCTTTAATACACTGAAAGAAAAGATTGGTTGCTGTAACAATTTAGATAGTAAAATATGACACAGCATTTTTAATCGGCTGCAGCAACCAGTTTTTGGTTGTAACAGCAAATTTTTAGTTGCGTTAGCTTATCGAAATCATATACTGACATTGAGGATAAGCTAACGGAACTAAAAATTTGCAGTTACAAAAACTGGTTGCTGCAGCCGATTAAAAATGCTATGCCATATTTTACTATCTAAATTGTTGCAGCAACCAATCTTTTCTTTCAGTATATATAAAGTTTTCATATATAAAGTTTTTTTATATAAAAAAAAAGTACTCTTAACTTTTTCTGATAATACAGATATTGTTTCCATTTTGCTATTTTTCTTATATATAAAGTTTTTTTATATAAAAAAAAGTACTCTTAACTTTTTCTGATAATACAGATATTGTTTCCATTTTGCTATTTTTCTTCTGATATTAAAAGCATAAGTCATGAAATATATGTATACGATACACTTTTTAATTCGCAAAAAAATTGTCTTTCTTCCAAAATGAAATGCATCAGACTTCACTCATCGAAATTAGATCAAAAGCGGAAATATATTCGACTAAAATTTTTAACTAAACTACAATAAACCTATATACATAAAATTAAAATAAAGAGAAATAAATGCCTGTGTCTCATATTATTTTAGAGTCACACAGGCTATTGAAGCTTACTTCATGATCATTATATCACCGAATGTCGAGAATTTGCTTTCGTAGCAAAGAGAGATCACACTGTTAAATTAGCATGCCGATTCATAAATAAAAAACTAACTATTTCGTTACTCTAAAAGCTGCAAATTTACGGAGAGATTCGTCGATTCTCCCAAACGTTCATCCTCGTATCCCCCGTTTCGGTCTCTTCGTTCTCGCCTCCTTCCCAGCAAACATAGCAATCGTCGAAAAAGCGTCGAGAGAAATCAAATGAGTTTGCGCGAGAGTGACAATGGAGTTTCGCGACTGTAATCAAGCTACTGTGAGTGGCGCGGGAAAAGGGGGCCGTCGTGGAGGGTGAAGGGACTGTCCTGCGCATTTGAATTTCCACGCAAAGGGAAACGAGATACCACCGATAGCGTCTAGAAATCGTCCACGACGCGACGATAGAGACATTGAATTAAGCACGATGCAGACCCTTAATTAAACGCTCGAAATTGAGCCATCGATTAAATACTTTCTCTCTCTCTCTCTCTCTCTGTCTCTGTCTCTCTTTACGGTAAGAACTTACGCTCTTCTTTAACACCAAAACGTCTGAATTATTGGTGCGAATTCGTCGTGATGATACGTTTCCGTGAATGAATAAAAGATGTACGATAAAAGCGTAAAAACGCGTAAGAAAATCTTTCGTGAACCCATCAAAAAGATAACTTCGAAATATAGAGACTTACTTTCACAACTTATTAATGTATGCACATCACGTTCATTACTGATTTCAAATTAAAATTATAGCAATATAGTTTTCTATTTTTTTGTCTTATAAGTATTAATATTACAGAAGGTTTAACTTAAGAAAAAAAAAGAAGAAAGTTTGTGAAGCTGTTTCTTTGCATACGGAATATGACCTTTTACGAGAAAAGTAATCCCAAAATATGATAATTGCGCAAGTTTTTCTCAGAAACCCATAGCACTAATCCTTGTAATTGAAACAATTTCGCACGCAAAATGCACTAGAAATACAATACAATATGAAAATAGAAAGTAACAAATACCTTTATTGTTAAAAGACTAGCACATGTAAACAGGATTGTTAATGGAAAACTTCAAAAAACAATCGATTCAAACTTCATGCTACCAATTTGTTCCACCGTTATTTCGTGCCAGTTAACGTGCAACTGTTATTTTGAGGTATAAACAATATACCGTAATTGTAGCAAATTTATATTTCGGTAAACAAAAAAATAGCTTTATGGACCACAGAGCGAAAAGATCAACTCTTTTTCCCAAGTTGCTCTAATTGGCATGCCCTTTTTGGAACAGAAAACCGTCATTTTCGAGGATAGAGCTTCGCTCACACGTAAATTTAAATTATCTCATGATTGTTGTTATAAACGAACAAGCGTGATTTTTTTTTTCAAAGTATGGAACACAATAACACATTAAATCTAATGTAATTTTGTAATCCTATTACAGCGTTGTCACAAATTCTTCCTCCTCTAAAATTCCATAACTTTTCCCTGATTTTCAGACAAAATTTCATGATTTTCTCTAACTTTCAATCATTTTTATTTTCAATAATATTTTAAAATTATATTTTCGTCTTGTTTGGAAACTGTTAAATGATTTGTCGAGAGATCAATTTAATATAATAATGTAAATTACTATTAATGCTGCTAACGCCGTTTGTATTTTTAATTATGAAGTTGATAGTACTCAACAACTAATGTATATCAAATCTTTAAATTCTTTAAAGTCAAGAATTTTAATTTTCTAGAGAATTTTAAAAAATTCTCTGACTTTTCCCTGATTTTCCAGACCATTTTCAATTTCCCTGACACAATTCCCTGATTTCCAGTTCTACGACAACCCTGCAATCACACGATGAAAGACACGAATTCGCTGTAATAATTATTTCCACCACGACTTGTTATCCGACTCATTTTCCTACTCGCCGACAACGGAAAACGTTGTGAAAGAAATGTATAAAAAACGTGTGTTATTCGCAGAATACGAACGAGTCGTCAACCACGTTTTCGCGCGTGGTCCAGCCACGGATGTTGTCTTTGCCTTTGACGTCGTGCGGCGCGATGAGCGTTGAAACGCAACGATATAACCAGCGGGGGAGCTATTTTACGAAGGGAAACTTTTACACATGCATTACGGGGTGACAATCGTCACCTCGTTTTTCAATTCTAACCAGCTGAGTCTAAAAGCGCGAAGCACCGCGGCTTTTTGGCGAGTTGCCGCCCCAAAAGGGAAAAAGGAAGTATTTATTATGTCCTCACGACAATGAACATTTTTGTACAGAGGAAATGCAGTTTTATAACGGACTTTAATCATATTTCTTCGGGATTTCTAAAGCAATTTTTTTCCTTTGAAAAGTGCTATTTTATAACAATATTCCTTTAACATGGTCGTCAGTTTTATCCACGAATTCGATGAATTCCTATCAATTCCTAATATATAATATATCATTTCACATCCGATCTTTTGATATCACTAGAACTGACTAGAATAAAATTTATGATGATCCCACTTCATGGAAATATACCGAAATGACGGAAAGCTCTTATCGTCTTGCAAAATTATATGTATATTGTAGATTCTAAAATAAATTTAATTATGTTATAATTCACGATATCCATCGAAGATACAATATATGTAGTTAAGAGACTTTGAAAAGCATTACATTTATTCTCTTCATTTAAACATTACGGAATATATTTCGTTGCGCGGTTACGCGAAAGCAATTTTCTTACGCAATCTTTTATCGGTTGCGTTCAGTAGAAAAAGTAACCGTTTTAAAATTCTTCAATATCCGTTTCTACCAATGTAGATTAACTTTAATCTCGGTTCAACTTGCTCTTCATCTTTTTGCAATTCTCAGAACTAAAAAAAAGATAAAGAATCAGTTGAACCGAGATTAAAATTAATCTACAGTAGTAAAAACTGGCATAAATGTTGGTTTATACATTTACTATAAATCCAGTGAGAAACAGAGCAAGATCAATCATTAAACAATTTTGCAACGGTCGCGAAGCTGTTTTTTCTGCTAAGTACAGCCAATCATACCCGGGAACATATATCACTAGACGAAGAAACTTTACATCGATAATTTAGATTTTCGCACTAAAGAACACAAATTCTTGTTGTAAATAAAAAAAACGAGTATTTAGATTTGGTTCCACTAATGAAGATTAACTTTAATTTCGATCCGATTTTCTGTTTATCTTTTTCTAATTCTAAGAATTACAACTAGAATTTTCTAGAATCCTAAGAAAAGTTTATTTCTCAGAATGAAAATTTTCTAATTCTAGGAATTAGAAAAAGATAAACAGCAAATTAAACCGAGGTTAAAATTAATCTTACATTAGTGGAACCGGGCGTTAATGAATAGCTCAATTTCGAGCGTTTAATTAAAGGTTACCGCATACGACGGCACACATACACCACTCGCGCGCACACATACACGCAAACACCTCCGAACGTATAAGAAAGGTAAAAGTTACGAGCGACAAATCGTTTTTCAATATCCTGAATGTTCTTCAATATCTCGTCCCAATACAGGCAGGTCACTTACCTGCTATCACCAGGAGAGCGACGGCCGCTTCTAGCCACAGGTGGCAAGTCTTCATCTCGACGGCGTGTACGGAAGCTCCAGCGGTCCCTCGGTGACCAAAACCACTCGCGGACTCGCGGCTCACAGACACACTGACGATCCCACCACTCACGCCGGCAGTTAGGTCGCGTGAACGCAACTAGGTGAAATTACCCGGCACCACATCTGCTCGCTTTCGCACACGGCACGCTCTTCCCTCCTTCTTCTCTCGTTGACTCGTACCACTCGCTCGCGATGACGGTAACCGGTGAACGGCACCCGGGCGACGTCCTCGACGCTACCACTCGTCTCGCGCGTTCCAGCCGGACTGACGCCGCTGACGCGCGCCGGGGATTTACCGTCCGAGAGACTCGCGTCAAACTTCACGCCGAACGATCCCTCCACTCTTTCGCGACGATTGATAGCGGTCGAAATTCAAATCACGTCAGATTTATCTCTTCGCGCGCGCCGCGTGCTTTCGAAACTTTCTCCCGCAGGGGGTGCCTCGTTTTTTTTTCTCTTTCCTTTTCTTTCGTCCTCACGCGCGTCGATCACGACGCGTCGGCGATCGACGACAGACTCCGTCGGTGTGCGTTATCGATCACCGTGTGTGCCGACGAAACGAAGCACAAGCACGAACCAAGGATTTTAAGCACTGTTGACAGGGTAATTGCACGTATATCTGCACTGGATTGCGACGGACGAGACTGAGCGTCGCCGCGCGAAGCAGTTCTGTCGCGAGTCGCGCCTGCGCGACCGCCCTTTTATCCCCACCATCGGCGCGCCGACGATCTCGCAGCTTCCACTTCCTCTCCCGCCCTTCCCGCGGGGAAGTGAGCTCTTCGCTCCTTCGCGCTCTTCCCTGCGTCTCGCGTGGGTTTATCCCGTTTCCACCGGGAAGCCGCGCGCGATCTCGTTTTCTCGTCTTCCCTCCCGACGCTCGCTTCTCCAACGGCCCACACACCTCGCGACCGGGCAACGCACACACGCGGACAGGTCTCTCCCCCTCCTCCCTCCTCCCTCCCCCTCCTCCATCCCTCCACGAAAATCCGCGATTTTATTCCGCACCTCCTTCCGCACGCGGTGGGAACGGCCGCCTATCCCGAGACCTGCGGATTCAATTTGTCAGCCAAAAGTTGTTTTTTTTCTTTCGTTGAATGAATACGGTTTGTTACGCGTATCATTATTCGGCTGGCATTAGGGACATTGTTGGCTCTCGTCGCACAGCCTTGCGAAATCCGTAGGACGCCGCTCCTTTGCTGCTCGGACACGTAGGTAGGTTGATCGCATGAATCTCAATTTGCGAAGACGATACGTGTCCTCGAATCTATCTTCGCTGAATTCTAGTCTTGCATTCACGGTACACGATTAAAACGAGATATCTACATATATCTCGTCTTATTCTGGAACAATTATAATTTGTATTAGACGAGAATAAATCGATTGGGAGCTAGAAATAACTCTATTTTCGATTAAAGTAGATTTCAGTGCTTAAATATTTTAACTGCAGTGAATTTATTACAGACATCCATAATTCTGCAAATTGCGCGCCGAAATCTTTTTCGACCTTGAAACGCAGTCACGAACAGAACTAGAATAGTAATGTCACATGTTAAATTGACAAGCGATTTAATAATTTTTTGGTACTAACAAGCATCTTAAAAGAATATTAATAATTTGATGCTAATCTAAGTAGTTTGAGAACTGTAAATAATTTAATTTGTCGTAAAAAATATTACCTTAATCGAGAAACTTAGATCTCCTGTGGTTTACAGAATTCGACATGTATATAAATTCACTTTGAAATATTTAAGCACTAAGATCCGCTTTGACTGAAAATAGATTTACTTAATTGATTTATGTTGGAATGCCTACTTGTATTGTTCTCCGATTTTATTATAATTGAAATTGTTCCTTTACTTCAGAAGTGACACATGCAGCTCAATAAATTAAATTTTTCAAAAAAAGGAAGAAAACTATTTTTTAACTGCACAGAAAATTATCGATTAGTTAAATAATATCGGCAAAGGGAATATACTCTTAAAAATATAATCAAGTCATTTTTGTCATTTTCATTTCATAACCTTTAAAAAGCACTTTTTTTAACTGTGACGATTTTAATCTCCTACAAAACAATTGCAACAAATTCGGAATAATTTATCAAAAGCGACATAACTTGAAATATCACCAACAGTTTATATTTTCTTGCTCAGCTAAAATGACTAATTAAAAATAAAATAACTTCTTTATATATATAAATTTTAATCATCAAAATTACCGTAATTCTAAATGTTCTCTGTAGAAGACTCTCCTTTTTATTTACAAAAACAACACAACTCAAAATGTGTCATCTTTGTAAAGGGTATTAGGATTTGTTTGAAAATCTTTAGAACGATACATTTACTATTTGGTGGAAGGATTGTGTGAAATTAGATCACTTTATTTTTGATAATTGATAGAGTAACCTTTACTATATGTATTCATAGTAAATAACTCGAAAATAACATTTTTTTAGTTATGTTACCTTTGAAGTAAAGGAATGACACACAACATGCATTTATAATAATTATTTTATGATAATAATTATTTTACTATTGGCTGTTTGTCGAGCGTCTTAAGTAGTATACAAAGTAAATTTTTTTACTTGGATATTATTTAAGACGCTCGACAAACAGCCAATAGTAAAATAATTATTATCATGAAACAGAAAAGGAAATGAGAAAGGTATAAATGTTCTGGTATCGTGTACTCTTTTAAAGCTCTTAACTACACTAGTAGACTCCCCTAGAATTGTTTTTTTAAAACGAAATTATAGTTGCTCTTTTACTTTGCGTTATACGAGTGTTTACATTTATTATATTGTTACATTATACTGTTCTGTTTATTTCTACTGTGTAAATAAATTAAAATGGCATGGTTTGCTTCGTTATTATTTCATACTAACGAATTCTATAAAATATGTAGTTATATTATAAAATTATATTTTATGTAATTTATTATGAAATAATAACGCAACAAATATGGCATTTTAATTTATTAAAGCAGCAAAATGCGATTATGTTGCTAATATCGTTGAAGCGAGATAGAGCATACATTCGTATACATACAGCGGTAGTCTTGCATCCAATTCGGCTAGAAGAGTTAAAAAATTGCGAATGTAGCTCTTTCTCTATCGTCATAATTCTTCACGGAAAAAGTACAATTTATTCCGTATCTGCTATCAAACATCCGCGAGACATGTCGCAGAAATGGTATCTATATTGTTCCTTGCTTCCCGGAACTGATCCTCAGCGGCGGATCAACTGCGTTGCCCGCAGGCGTTGCGAACTGCGTAATGACGTATGCTGATCGCTCGCGCAAGGCCTCGTTTCGAAAACACTAAAGCACGATATATACGACGATATATAGCACGATATTCGCAGGAAGCGAACCAGATCAGCATAATGTATCCCATGCTAGAAACCATAGATCATAGACCGAGTGACCTAATTTTCCCGATGCCATTGAAAATGCTTTGTTACAGCAAGTACATCAAGCGCATTGCTGCGGCTTATAATGAACCGTTACAATGGATTCATTAGTTACAAATCGACATAAATCTCAGACTGTTAGAATATCTATAATGAGTAGTTATAGATAAAAAAAATAATTTTGACGCAGATAACGTGTGAAATATTATTAAATGATATGATAAAATGAATAATGTCATTGGTCCATACACAGGTATACTATTGAATCCAATATTACTCCCTTTTGTGCAACTCCGGCAATTTTAGTTAGAAATGAGCAGATATTTCAACACACAATAGTACGAACTAAAACGTTACGAGTTCCATTCCTCAAGTATTTCATTTTTCGATCAATCGAACGTATTACTCCGAAGAACAACGTTAAAGACAAGCTTTAATTTTGATTGAAAGAGGATCTTTTCTAAAACGCGATATTATAGAAATTAATTATTATCTTGTTTACCAATCTAAAGCAAAACAATTTTAATTCTTCGTAGTAATTATTTAAGATATATTTTTTAAGGATGATTAAACTTTTGAAGGTTCCTATAGAATTAGGAGATTTCGCGACAACAAATTGTAGGGTATATTAAATTGAGTCATTCATTTCTAACACACACTCGACGAGTTTAGAAAATTTCATTAAAATAAGTATATCATCAATAAATGCCGCGTCTCGATTCGTCTTTCTCCGAAACTTAACTTACACCACTTTCGGGATTAACAGCTCTATTACCCCACCGAAACTTAACCGCAATTCACGCCGCGGTATCTCGTACATCTCATTAATCGAGCGATTACACGTTTAATGAAGTGCGAACGTCTAAAATGTACTTCGAGATTAATTGGGGCGCGACTATTCTTAGATGCAGTCAAACTTTCGCCGGATGTCTTGCGCGCGATGGGATTCTAAAGTTCGCCGTGTAAGGCTTTAGATTAGAGCGGATAATTCTGTTCGGATTTACGCGTGCGCGAATTTCCGAGCGGATTTCTATACAGATACGCAGAAAGTTCCCGGACTTGCTCAGAGACGACTGGCGTCGATCGCGCAAAGATTTGAGAATAACGGTATAAAAGTTAAAGGGAAGAGAGAGTAATATTCTCTTATCTATACGTCTCAAAATGTAAAACTCGCGTAAAAACGCGGGCAGTTGGGAAAAGCGTATTAAAGGGGTGGCACCCAGTTGGACACGGCTCAATTGGACACGAGCCACTCACAGCGTTTGAGACTACAAAGCTCCTAAGCACCGATCGCTGTGATTGGTGGTGTCCAATCGAGCCGTAGTCAATCGGGATCACCCCGTATTAAAGCATGATCCGCGTTTCCATCCTAGTGCCAACTTCCGGACGATGGAACGTACCATGTAGGAAATCTTATTCGTCTACGACGTGCAGATGCGGGTATCAAAAGGCACTTGGCGCCGCGCATTCATGAATCTCCGATGCGCGATTTGCTGCTTAAACATGGAGTCGCCGCGGGAGCGTCATGGACCGGTCAGCACGCTCTTTATGGCGGTACATCTACCGCCCGCAATTTATCTTTCCCACCCGCGTGCACTCTGCTTGCACGCTGCCTTCCTCTAGTTCCCCTTTGTCGCTTTTCTTTTCTCGCCTACCCCCGGCTTCGCTCCCTCGTCTCGTGAATCTTGACCCCGGAAACGCTGCGAAAGAAGGGCGCGCGCACAAGGAAGACGGCGGGGGTGCAAAGGAGAGATGCGAAGGGAATAGACGATGAAAATATCACGAAGACATCGTTCGTTACCACCGCGTCGTTTATCCGTATCGCTACCTTCCTTGTAACCGTATAAAACGACCTTTCATCCTCATTCATGACGGCACATGGCAGCGCGACGCGACGCGACGCGACCGGTTGAAAGTCGCGTCAAGCCGAGTCGCTGAGATTCGCAAGATCGCACTTTAATAGGATAGCACGAGCGAGCTGGAGAAAAAGAAAGAGCGAAAGACAAGGGAGAAAACAGGACGCTTTTTTCGGTCGTACCCGAGCCCGCCGGCATTACTCTCACGAGGACAGGAAGCAGCGAGGCGCTAGGCGGGAGGGTTGAGACCCCTGAATTATCGCGCGGAGTTATTTCTTCTTTCTATATATCGTTCTTTACCTCGGGGGCGGGCACACATACGAAGCACAGAGCTTAGGTACCACGGGCGCTAACTCGAGCACGAAAAACTCGGGAAAGTTAGAAG